TGGATGTCGTAAGTATCGGACTCCTTGTGTTGGGAGATGAATGCGTATGCCTTTAGGGTCCCAAGTGCGTCGATAGTCTTTAGCCTCCCGGACGGCGGCAGCACAGATTGCGGAATATCCTTCCCAGCTAGGAAGCACATAAACCTGAGGTAGTCTGCTGCCAGCGGGTCGTGCTCTGAGATGTGCTGGAACGAAATCAGCCAAGTTGTGGCGACAGGGTTTTGGATGTCCTTATATCGATGTCGGTCCTCAAAGTCCCGGCTTAACAGCTCGATCATATCCTCGTCACTGGAGTTGCATAGCTCAAGGTATTGTGTAGTCGAAATCTGCTTCTTGCCCATATAAGCAGAGGCCTGCCGTATTGCTAGGGGGAGATTGCAAAGAAATTCCAGCAGCGCGTCAGTGCTTGCCACATCGCCTATCTGATCCCCCTTCAACCCTTTCTGTAACAGCTCAAGGGCTTCGTCTCTGCTCATTTCTTCAACTGGAATGATGCGACGCTCAGACTCGACTAGCTCTACCGCAACTTCGTGATTTCGCGTTGTGAACAGAATAGACCCTTTCCGGCTGAATGGAAGATAGTCGCCGAGGTCCATGTCGCCAAAGAGCTTTATATCATCAGCGTTGTCGATGACCAAAAGCCAGCTGCCCGTGCTTTCACAACTCAAGGCTGTCTTGACAAGTGCCTTGACATCTGCCTTCTCCTCGTTGATCCCGGGTACCTTGAGCAGCTGGCCGATGACGCGGTATGCGTTCTCAAAGCTGGTGGCATCCACGGCGGGAACCCAAAAAACCGAGCAGTCCGGATGCGCGTCACCAACACGAAAAGCGGCCTCGAGTGCGATCTGCGTCTTTCCAACACCTCCTAGCCCTTCGATTGCAGTCCGCTGGCAGTTATCCTTGTCCACACTAGGAGGGATCCTCCCGAGGAGGTCCTGGAGAATCGCTTCACGGCCGACGAATTCCCCGTTACGTCCGAACGGGACCATCCGGTGCCGCTCGTCAGGTGCTTCACCATGTTAGCATGATCCTGGCCGTAGCAGCCCGCTCAGAGGAGATGGTCAACTTACAGTTCTTCCGGAGTGTCAGAACGGCCGATGCGTTTCCAGCTAATTGCCTAACCACATCTTTGACGAGTTTAAAGTTGGGGCATTCTGGGCCAGCGAATTTGTTCATGCCCGAATGGGTTGCATCCAGCCCTCGGCGATGGAAACCATGGAGACAAGCCGAAGACTCCGTTACAAGCTGTCCCAGGTTAGCTGCATTATGAATGGCAGATAAAGTTAACGTACGATCTTGTGGGTCACTCCCGTAGCCAGCGTCTTCGCCCAACGCGGCGATAAAATGCGTCTCAACAGCTCCGTCTTCTTGGTTTCGAAGAAGCAATACAGCGGCAGTCGAACCGCCTCGGCCTTCGCGATCTCGGTGAATTTCTGGACGCGCTGACGAACCAAGTCGTGTTTCTGCTCGAGGTCTTGTATGAGCTGATCGGAGGCCTGCTCTCCCATAATACCGGCAACCAGCACCTGCCACCGAGCCTGCTTGGCAGCATCGGTGCCGTGGAACGGAGTGGCGAGAAACACGATCCCGATAGTGGAAAGCAGAATATGTCGGTAGGCGCTGCCCTGCTGGGCCGCTCGATTAATAGCCTGGGGATGTTAACTGCTGTTTGCAGTCCATGCATCGGGACGTACCTCGGCCAGGACAAGGCCGCCGAAACAAGAGGCGATGAAGATGATCGGTCGCATTTGCGGACCGAGGCCTTCGGAAACAAGACCGAGCAGCGTGTCGGCATGGCCGAGAAGCGTTTGTACGGGCGCATCTTCGAAGTAGTTTGCGTTCCAGTCGTAGGTGTATATACGGGCCTCAGGTAGAGCCGCCGGCAGCATGTCGCGATCTGACAGCCAGTTCACCACCCCGCCTCCTCCTTTCCTCCTGAACTCCCATGTCCGTGGCGACTCGGTGCCCAAACCGTGGATTGCGATAATACTGTGCTGTTAGACGTGCCTTCAGTCGTCGGGCCGGTGGAACATACTCGATGGTCGTTTCGTCGGGGACATCAGGGGCTGGAGCGATCCGACGGAGCCCCTTTGGAGCCTAAAGGAAATTGGCGGCAGTCAGCGTCCGGCCGGTATTTCTAAGTGGAGAGGGAGGATCTCACTATCGTAGTTGTCCCAGGCATGTTCCGAGAAGCGGGGTTCGGGTCGATCCCACCTGTGTATCAGGGGTAGAAAGCCAAGGGTCCAATTCCGCGCCGCAGCCGCGTCAAGCTCGCGGTTGAAACAGAATGGATGAGAGAACTGAATGAGTTCTGTATAATGATGCTTCGTATCCTTTGTGGGGATTGCAGTAGGGGACCATCGATCGCACTCGCTGACGTGAAGGCCCAATGCCTAGCCCAAACCCAAGTCGATCGGCGATTCCCGTTCGTGCACGGGAAACAGCTCAAAGCGCCACGAGCTGACCGTGTCCAATCATCTTAACCCGCAAGCAGCTAGCAACGTCGGTCGCAGCCAACCGTATCTCGCAGTAGCGTGGGCGGCTCAGCTCGACAGGCGTCAACAGGCGCCTAACAACTGCAGTTGATCGGGACAATTATATCGCATTGCGACCGAGCACCGCAATCTAGATGCTCCCAATTGTGTGGAAGACAAACGGCACAGGGGTTGAAACGGGAAGACGGTACGGTATGCAGTAGAGGCTGAATCTCCCCTAAAGTGATAGCCGGCGGTTAACTAACAGCATTCGCAAAGTAGCCTCTGTGTATCATCAAGCTCGTGAGGGCGGGTTGACACATAAGCCCGTCACGTTCAGCGACACACTTCCGTCGCTGCCCCCCACATGGCTCGGCGACACCCCCCGTCCTGGCCGGTACGCTAGGAGCCCTCCCTACGTTCAACGTCCTACCCTCTAACGATTCATACACAGCTCGAAACTGAAGTGCTTGTGAAAGGGAAGCCGAAGAGCACGACAGATACCTTGCCGGCTACCTATTGCTATTATGAAGCCCCCTGAAAGCGCATCGTCGGTAACCCGGCAGATGACATATCGGCTTTTTTACGGAGGGAACTGTCCCCAGGGGTCTTCGCCGACATGCTGAACCATCTATGGTTTGCCGGCGTAAAGCGTCCCGCCACGCCGCTGCACTTTCATGTCGCTATGGGCTGAGAGATCGCCGTCGCTGACCGGATGGACCTTCACCTCCTTTGGGCCAAGGAGGGGAGGCTCTTCGTCAAGCCTATCCCACGCTTTCTTCTTGATCCGGCCTTTTGCCAGAGACACCTACAGTGTCCTGGCGATTGTACTTGCCGCGATCCTCCAGGGGATACGTGTTGGGGGACTCCGCGGAAAGTTGCCCTTGGCTTCCTCTATACATACGTCTGTCTTATATCGTCGGAGAGTGACTTCCACGTCGCCAACGAAAAGCGCCTCTTGCCTCGCGGGGAAGACGACTCGCCAATTGAATGGGCAAACTGGAAGACTCTCGCCAGAGCGCTCCTCCGTACGTATGAGCGTGACCCAGCCGCAGTCCACCCGCGCTTTCTACGTGCCGAGCTCCGCCTCTCCCGCATCAACGCTATCCACCGCTTCACCCGGCTCCCGCCCTTCGAACCCTACCTTCGCGGTCGGCACAACTACAGTAGCCTCTTCCGCGACAACCTCGCTTGGATGGCCGCCGGTACCGTCTTCGTCGCTCTGGTGCTGACCGCGATGCAGGTCGGCCTCGCCACGGAGCGTCTCCGGGGGAACGCTGCCTTCCAGCTGGCGTCGTACGGCTTCACCATCTTTGCCATCCTAGGCCCCATGTGCGCGTTCGGCCTGGTGGTACTAGGCGCGCTGTTCAATCTCCTTAAGGATCTGCCGTCGCTTCTTGGGGGGCAGCGCAACCGCATGACCACTTATCCGCACTACGTCTAGCGCTAGAAGCGAGAAGGTACTTACTGAATGGACTTCAAAGAGCCAGAGTGGGGAAATAGGATACCGCAGTCACATATTAGAGGCCGGATTTTATAGGGTAGTGTCTATAAACCAGATTATGGGCAGACTGCTCCCGCTTTTCACGGCCTCCGGTCCAGCCCACAGAGTCTTTGTTGCGTCCAGGTTACCCGGACTGTTGGGAGGAGTGAAGAAGCAGCGTTGATGCAAGCTGAGCTGGGATTCGCCCTTTTTTACCTATAACGTACTTGCCTAGCGAGTTGGCCAGCATAGCGAGTGGGCCACTTTTCTCTGACCTCGATTACTTTGTATAAGTCAGTTCTACCACAACGCCCTTCATTAATTAGAATTACTCGAAAACGCTATCCTCAGACGTCTCTCTAACTACTTGACAAGTTCGCGCATTATGGCCGGGCTGCTTGCAGTTGCTACAGAGCCGAACGTGTGGCTTAGCGACGGTTATACAACCACCACTCGTGGACGTTTCCTCGCAATCCTGACCACCAAGTCCCCGGTCGCCTATCAAAACCGTCGCCTCTTGCAAACTAAGCGATCCTCCGTCCTGCAAACGCGTTTTTCTGGTTCTGCGTCGCTTGCTTAACCGTTCATTTGCCGTACGAAGCTCTTTGGTCTCGGCTCGGAGCAACACCATCTCATGCGCAAATTTCGAGATGCTCTTCGCTTGCAAGTCGATAATGTCAAAAATATGGGTGGGGGAGCTACCTTGGTGGTGTTGAATTCTCCGCTTGAGTGTGCTGGAACTCAGTGTCGCTTCGTGCGCATTGGAGGGTGTCTTGGGGACCCAAGATGTGGCTGTTCCGGGACGCGAGCTCGGAGGAGATGGGGTGATTGGCTTAGGGCCGAGGCGAGAAACCACAGATTCGGGGTCGAAAGGGACGAGGCCAGCTGCTCTAAAGCCCGCCCGTATGTTGTTCGCTGTTATAGAGGCATGGAATGCCTCGACAAACGCGTCGAAGAAGTCTTCCTTCGAGATATGAGTGATTCGCATCCGCATCATCTTCTCGATTTGCTTGCCATACGAGGCCTTAAGCGGACTGAAACATCCCACATCGAGAGGCTGAAGAAAGTGAGATGAATGGGGAGGCATGCAGAGTCTAACGATGTTGTTGGCCTTGCAGAAATCCTCGAAGGCCACCGAGTGGTGGCTTTCATGGCCATCGAGGATGAGTAGCCGGTATATCCCTTTCGTCCGACGCCGGGTGGAATGATCAAAATGTTTCAACCAATCCAGACCAATCTCGTTTGTAGTCCAGCCATTATCGCTCGTGTGAACTCTCCATTCGGGTTGGAATCGGCTGTCCTGGTACCAAGGGAGGAGGTGGTTTTTCCCCTTGGACAACAAAGTACGGCGGCACGACCCAGCCATCCGCACATACGGCCTGGATCACCGTAACCCACTCCCGATTACCAGGCTGCTTCGCACGAGGCCGACCGCGGCTTTCCGAGCTTGTCACGACCTTTGCACCTGAAAGTATGCCCATTTGGAACCCTGTCTCGTCGAAATTGTAGATGTCCCCCTCTTGGATCGCGAACTTGTCAATCACGTTTCATACAAGCCGAAACCACGCGTTTACCACGCCGGAATCTTCGCATTGGGTCCTCTGGTAATCGATTTGGCGTCGAAAACGCGTTGTAAGCTCGGGATGTCGGTCCACGAAGTTGTTGGCCCATCGGGGTCCGACGCGTGACGCGTCGCGTGCCGCGCGAAGACGATCGGCCATTTCTCGAATGTCAGAGAGCCGGGGCTGAAATCCTCGCGTATCAAGGTCGAGTATTCTCTCAAGAAGCACCTTTTCCTCCAAGTCGGTCAACTTCCTCGAGTTGGCAGGTAATTCGCATCGTGATTGCTTTCCGGCACGTCGGTGTTGAAGCGAGCTTCGTGAGATCGTGTAGATCACAGCAGCTTTTCGTATGGAAAGTTTAGGGTCTTTTTTGAGAGCCTCAAGCGCAAGGATTATGTGACTTTCTTTTGGAAGAGCTTCCATTTTAGGTTGTGGAAAAAGTTCGCGATGAAGTTGAAAGATGACAAAAGGAAGAAAAGTGGCCCACTCGCTATGCTGGCCCACTCGCTATGCAAGTACGTTATGGCAAGACTGGCGGCATCACATGTGGGCAGCAGCAAGCGCCACTGCCTCCGGTATTGGCCGGGAAGGTATTACCGACCAAGTCAAGGTCAAATATGCACACAGTAGGCGGCGAGAATGTTTTGAGATGCGCGGAAGTTCAGAAATCTGACAACGCCGAATTTGCAAGTTCCAGAATCGCCGGGCAAAGGAGAAGCAGATGAGGAAGATTGCTGAGTTTGAGGCGCAGCAGGCTAGAGAGCGAGCCGCTTCCGAGTCCAAGTCATCTGAAGGGCACGATCAGGCCGTGGAAAGCGAATTCTTTGAGCTGGATAACCAACACCAAACCTCAAGTCTGTCTAGTGGGACATTTGGAGAAGAAGACGACGAGGTTAGGGCCGAAAGCGACAGTTCCGCGTCTTCTACTCCCGGACCTGCCGAGCAGGACGCCGCCAAGTTCGGCGAGACTCTGGAGCCTGATGCGGATTGCTCTATGCAAGTAAAACGCGAGGCATTGCACTCGCCGGCTCACTATATATAGGAGATGATAGAGCTTGCCCCGCTGGCCACTATCACTGGACAGTTTGGCCAACCCAAGACGAAGGATGAATTTCTATACGCGACAGCCTTTATATATCGACTCACGGATTCAACGATTGGGGACGGTTTTGGGTGCCCAGACTTTGACACTCTCCAGGCACACCAAGCATGGACATGGGCGCTGCGGGTGCATTCAGCCTGTTTTCTGAACGCGATTACTATACCACTCCTTCGGTACCCCAATTCGCGTCCGAGAACCTGGCGACGAGCGCATCAATATAGACAGAAGACTACCACCACCTCTTACGGCATTACACCTTAGTAGAGAGCCTAGCTATGTCAAACACCGTTTCTCCTACCTCAATCCCCGAATCGCCTTCAACGCTATCAGATCTGCGTATAGCCCGACCTGGGACATCGAGGCCGACGAGGGCGAGGAAGAGTATACTGAGCCGGCCGTCGACTTACAGATACCTGAGCGCGCCAAGCTCGCCGAAATCCTCGGCAACCAGCCAGACAACTTAAGCTCCGCAGAGCTGCTCGAACTCCGCATCCAGGCTGCTGAGCTCATGGCCTCGTTGTGCGATAAGCGAGAGACCAGAAAGAGAGACCGCATCCGGCAGAGGGCACGGACCGATGTTGCAGCGAAGGAGGAGTCTCCCGGGCTTGACCCCTTTCCACTGCTAATGGAAGAAGCAATGCCCACTCTGTATCGGAGATGAAACTCTGTCTTATGAGGAAAGGACGTCAAGTACTGCCCGCTGGCGGTGATGTGCCACCATTTCGATAGGAAGCATGTGCAGCAGCTAGGTGGCGTGAAGCAGATGTCGTGCTACCACCCTAAGTGCAAGCAGGAGGCGTTGGAGTTCAAGCACTTGAACCACTTCAAGAACCACGTAGAGAGGGTCCACGGTATTAGATACGGGCGTGAGTGTATATTATTTAAATTACCTCTATCAAGTTTCTAGAGCATATCATTATAATGGGCTTTGGCTTCCTCTCAGGACACGTTAATGTGATAATCACGTCGAGGATATTCGTGGTCGACCGGCAACGGAGAGCATCGCTCGCCACATCAAATGCCACAGCTGGATAATTGCTACCGGACTAACATTTCCCTCTGATCATTGTC